ACTATTCTCGAAAACAATATTCAACGAAATGAAAATATTTACAACCAATAAAGCACGAATAAGTACATACAAAAATATTATCATTCTCAAAGTGGCGATTAGAAGCTGAATACTTCAAATATAAAAATTCAAATTTATGCATTTTAATAAACCCATCAAAAACCGAATAAAAAAAACAATAATTGAGATCACTGATCATGATACGAATATCACTGATAACGTGGTTGCATCGGAGCCCATTGTTGCTGCTGTGGCTGTTGCATAATGTATTGGCCTTGCTGTGGTGGCATCATCTCCTGGCCTGATTGCGATACCATCATACCTGAACAACAACAATGTCTCACTATTACCTTTCTGTTCATTAACTTCTGTCATTCCCTTTGGTCTCTTTTGACCTGTAGCCGAACCAAACAGCTGTGCCCTGTTTTCAGCTGAAATAAAACCCTTAGAACAACACTGAATGCTTACCAGGCTGTTGAATGATCCGGCCATTTTGATCCAAATATTGCATCTGCGGTCGCATCTGTTGCATCATTGGAGGTCCTTGCTGCGGATTCATCTGTGGATGTGGCGCACCCATTTGTTGCTGTTCGGCCATCATTCCCTGTGCACCCATCATCTGTTGACCCATACCTTCAAAACATTCCCATCATTTCATTGCATATAACATTCAAACAGGTATTGTTACCCTATGCTTTCCACAACATATCTGTAAATGTCTACCAATAAATTGCTAATAGTGCCATATAAACTATTCTGATGACAACTCATATCCGTTCACGTTGAAACTAGACACAACGATCTTAGGCCAAAATGTTGCAAAATTGAAACAGAACACAAGAAAATAGAAATCTGAAAGCAATATAAACAACAGATTGAATTCATGGATGTCTACAATCATAACAATACAACTGATCGTAAAATTGACTGAGATCTCTTCACAGGATTACTTATATGAAGTTTTATCGACGATGAGCATAGAACTTACCAGGTTGCATCATTTGTTGTTGCTGCTGCTGTTGATAGGTTGTCGGTGGCATCATTGACGGTTGAGTTTGCATTTGCATTGGACGTGCTCGCATCTGTGCGGGGCCTTGTGCTGCTGGATTCATTTGCTGACCCATAGCCATTTGGGATTGCTGCAAAAAATATTTCACTGTCAGTTCACCTCATACACTACCACAAACAATATTCCTTGTCGCATCACGTACTTATCAGTTACGTTTTTGGCTATTATATAAGCAGAGCGATATCATGAACCTAATCACCTTCATCCACCCATCATGCATGATTGACAACCCTACTTTTGATTGAATGCACAAAATACATGCAAACGAATACATCCATCACCTGTTCAATTTAAACGTAATACAAGCAGAAATGGAGGTGTAAGAAAGCAAGTATAAGTATAAGCATAAGTATAAATGAAACCTGATAAAGATTCGCATTTTGATTCATCATATGCGGTGGTTGTTGCTGGTGATGATGTTGTTGACGTATGGCCATATCGTGTTGCTGTTGCTGTTGGAACTGCATCGATTGCATTTGTGGGTTGTTCATAAGTGATGCTTGTTGTTGTGGTTGTTGTTGTTGTGGTGGTTGGTGAGGTGGTTGCATCATTTGTTGAGGGTTTGGTTGGGGTGGTGGTATGCCTTGATGTGTGGCTTGCTGATGTTGTTGTTGTTGTTGAGGAGGAACATTAGGATGAGGATGGTGGTGAGCAGCTTGTTGCGATGATTGCGGTACTGGATGATGATGACCCGGCTGATGATGGTCGAATCCTTTCGCAGCCATTGATTGACCACCACCTGCACCACCACCGCCTCCGCCACCGACCACTCCTTGGTAGTCGTTTCCGGTTGGACCCTGCACTCCGCTGAACATTCCACCGGTTGGTGCACTCATCATGTTCTCCATCTGAAATCATTGACATAAACGAATTTAAAAGATCTCATACAAATCCGACGTTTCGAAATGAAGCATTCGCTTGAAAGTATTCAGATCAATTCTGACGGAAACTTCCTAACTTATAACAATTCAAAACCACAAACCCTCAACCATAAAAACTCTACATACGCTCTAATATGCACACTAGACGCACTTCAATTAAATATAAAATCACAAAATCTATTTTGTTTGAGTGCATCACAGAAGGAACACAATAGAAAGGCAAAGAAATTTACAGACCTGAGGTTGTGTGGGTGGCATTTGTTGATTCTGCTGCATACGCATCTTCTTCGCGGCCGGTTCCATGATCGGTTGTTGAGGGTGCACACCAATATTCTGAACAAATCAAAAAACAAGTGAATATGTCAAATAAATAACCAAACAGAAGAATGGTATTTACGAGAACAGATGAACGAATACGTTGATAAACAAATGATTCAAAAAAAAAGCAAACAAACACGTCGCACAGCGAATCATTCTGAACGGATGAAATACGACTACATGAAGAACTATTCCACATTTGAGATGAAGCATTTAAGTTCAAATCCATTGAAAATTAAGAGTCATCGTTGAAGTAATTCACAAATTTACCTGCTGCTGACTTTGCTGCGGTGGTGGCGGTTGTTGAGTTTTAGATGCAGAAGCGCTTTTATCGTCATTGTCATCCGAGAGAAATTCCCTCTTCGGATACGGAATATCACAGCCACTGAAAACATCTGCTGTTGGACGAGGATCTTCCTGAAAATTCCACCACATTCAAACAAATTACGAGCAGAATATCGTGAATATCCTCGATGATCGTTCACATTATCAGCATGAATCCACACGTTTCAACAATCAGTACAGCAGGTCTAATTTCATAGTCTGTCTAATCAGATTCTAATAACATTCAGTAAGACCTTCAGAAATGATCCACTATGTAGCGGAAAAAATTCTGTAGCACGTAACAAATGATATTAAAGTCAACGGTAATAGAAATAAGTACCTTAAAATACGGATCGTCCATAGCTTCTTGTGCAGTAACTCGTTTGATCGGGTCCATTGTAAGGAGACGTTGCAATAACGAGAATGACCGCGTGTCTGCTTTGATCTTGTGCTTATCCATATGTTTTTGTAGAGTACAGTTCGCATAACTGCAAACGAAAATCTATTCAGTATAAATGACAGACGAACGATCAAGCAACTATGATCTTAATCCTCTGTTTTTCGAGTGTGCAGCAGCGTATTTGAACAGAATGAATAGAACACAATCTAAAAGGGAATAACAGCTTTACACTTCTGATCACACGATCTCATTCATTAACATTCATTAATGAAAAATAAGTATGAAGGGAATGTTCATGTAAATGCTTGCTACGAAAACATACTTGGCACGCTTGAAGTCTTGAGTAAGTTTCTGATACTC